AGATTGAAACTAAATATTTTTTTGTTTCGAAGTTGAAATCAAGGCATATTCACTGCCAAAAGTCAGTTAAAAATTTTCCATATTATTCGTTATTTCTTATTTTACTCAAAGTTTTTGGTCAAATTCCAAATTTTCTCTCAAACCGTATACTTTTTTTCAGTATAGATAGTATTTATTTACCTCATGATATGCTGCAAAACCTAATTAATCACGAATTTCTAATTTTATAAACTCTTGTCTCCGATTGTACCTCCAAAACATCCTTAAAGGTAACACACACGTCAACCATATAAAAAAAAGGAACAGCCCAATTGCGACGCTGGTCCCATTTCTACCCTCAGGATTGCCTTAGTATATACATATGTCAAAATTTCCGAGGTGTTTTTTGTCGCTCAATTAGAATCTGACCTTATATAATTGAACCAGCACAGCCCGATTTAGAATTATAACTCCAAAATCTAAATGTTGCTAAATTGAAATTAGGATGTATTTTTTAATATCTTACGAAAAATACATCAAAAATAATTCAACCCATCGTCGTCGATATCCGAGAAAAGAACCAGAAAAATGTAACCATTTTCGATTTATTATTCGATGGTGCACTCAAACAGTTATATTGACTTGCAACTTTTGCAAAGATTTTATTATTTGTAGGAACGCTTTTTTATCTTAACATTTTTCGTTATATCTTGGCTTATACTTAATCTCGTTTTTGATAAAACTATGTAAATGCAAAGTTTGTTCTAAAATATCGGTTCTATGTTAGGTATATCTTCGAAAATGTACTATTTTAAGGTCGACTATCTAAACAATTTTTAAAATTTTGAAATTTTTTTTGTCTGCGTGCGTGTTTGGTATAGGCTACCCTTTGATTGATTGAGGGGGCATGAAGATGAGGTTGATCTGAGCTACTTATTAAATTGCTTGCCTGTTATAAGAACTATATTTATTATAAAGAATTACGATTAATATTGTCCAAAAACAAACCATTTGAACGAAGTCGCGGACAAATGGTGATTTATAAGAATAAAAATGTGACATACAAAAGTCAAAGACAACTGTCGTTGTTATCACTATATATATGTGTTTAATATAGGACTTTAAAGGGACTAGGGTTTTGTAAAATTTAATCTAATTACAAGTTTATTAAACGATTTGAAAAACATTAGCGTATATATGTAACATAATCGGTGCGACTATCTCCTCTTATAATACAATATTTTGAAAATGGGTAACCTATAACATAATCGGTGTGGCTATCTCCTCTTATAATACAATATTTTGAAAATGGGTAACCTGTAACATAATCGGTGTGGCTATCTCCTCTTGTAATACAATATTATGTAAATGCGTAACCATTGTCACGTCTAATTAAAAGATGGAATGGTTCTTTAGACCTACTTTTAATATTCAAGATGCTATCATTTAATCAGAATTATGGAAGCATAGACCACCATGAATAAAATGAAAACTTCGATAGTTTCAATTAATTACAATTATAAGACTTTCGTAATTAATTAAATTAATCCCATAATGAAATAATTGATTAATCACTGTTTTTACCCATTTTGCAAGAAGCATTTCTAAGCATTAGTAAATAATGGCATCCGTTTCTTGGCTGTGATTTCAACATTGTTAGAAAATAGTTCTAAAATCAATGGTACCCATCTACACAATACTTTTAACCGATTAATCATTTCGAAATTAGCTGGTATGCCTGGTATGTTATGTACCTACGTACGTACAAGTTAATACTATAGACATCTATTACGGTGGTTACTTTTTTCACGGATGCATTTTCTTAGGTGTAACGTTGCTTTTTTTTGTGGTCAGCTTTAAGTTTATTGACCTTAAATGGTTAAGTAACATCAAAGAATGTGGTGTTATTATTTGAAAACGTTCGACACTTTTCGTAACAATATAGGCATAAGTAGAAAAAGTTATTTAACATCTTACCTGTATCATTAATTAAAAAAAAAACGAAAAAATTTAGTACTCGTATTACCTTTATTGCTTACAAAATAGCGACGTTAAATAAATAATTATAAATTTTTATTGGTTTTTGTTCCGCACTGATTATTTAGGAAATGAATCTTTTTTAGTAATTTTAAATAATTAGAAGGACATTGAAACGATACTTAATATTATAAAGAGAACAAGTTCTTCCTGTTTGGAGACAATTTCAGATTGAATTGTAGCTTTATCTGGTAGTTACATAATCGATTTCTAATTTCTCCTACAATTATTACAGAAGTAGTTCATATACGAGGATCGTTGTAAAAGTATCGCATACATTGATGACTGTAGATTGCTTATGAGTTGATAGATTTGGTTACAACCTTTCCTCTATCTAGACAAAACATAATATATGTTTTTTGTAAAGTAATTAGTGAAACAAAAGTTTGAAACCAAAGTAAAAAATCAGTAGTAGTAGTAGTGTATTACTGAATGAATTATTGAATTAACTTTACCCAATACAGATAACCTCAAATTAATAAAAAGAAATTTTTGCTACTGTCACTTCCTCGCCGGACATAGAACCCTGGCCCCTGGTTACGTATCGTTTGTGATGCAGCTGTCACTTCCTTGTAGCTTAGTGGTAAAATACTGGTGCGTAAAACCAAGGGCCCGGGTTCTATGCTCGGCGAGGGAGTGACAGTAGCAACAATTTTTTCTCATTAATTTGAGGTTATATATACATGACTATAAGAAACTGTTTCCCAAAATGAAATATTTAGGTATTAAAAGTTATTTTCACTATTAAGTTTTGGCTTCTATTTCTTCAAACTTCTTCATCCACCTCTAACCTTGTTATTAACCAATAAAATCAATGTCTTCAATCATTACTTAACCTTTCGTGAATCTCGTCCTTGATCAGAGACCAATAATAAACTGAATGCAATAAAAGAAAAATCTTACATATGAAAATAATCGCCTATGTATTCTAGAACGTAAATGCAAAATGTGGTACAGGAAAACTTCTTGTTAATTATTTTTGGGAGACCTACTAATGACTATAAGAAAGTGTTCCCAAAATAAAATATTGAGGTATTATTAAAAGTTATTTTCGGTGTTGAGTGTTTTACATTACATCCATGTGTTTCCACAATAATGAATTGCGAAGTAGCTGATTAATTGGTTATTAGTCAATTTTGTTTGTAAATTCGATTCTTGTTTTATTTCAACATCACACAAAAGTGATTTAATTGTGGAATCGTTCAATAACATTGATTTATTTCAAACAAAGGTAAAGGTCGTCAAACACCTGTTAGAATAACAAAACTTTCCTTTTAAAAAATACTAGAAATGAATAAGCTTGAATAGTAAAAGTTAGGTATTTGAAGAGAATTAATAGTTATTTGCGAAACTACCGTGGAAATAATGTTCACAGGTTGTGCCAGCAAGGTAAACTTTTTTAAAGTATTAAACTTTTGTTAGTGTTAGAGGGTTTCGTGGTCATTGAGAAAGTAGAAAAATAATTAATAATTTTCTAAAAATAGCTCTGTAGCACTTCCTTATTAGAGAAAATGGTAATTATTTCTTATAAAATTTGTTGAGTACTACTGCTTTTTTAGTTACTATTATATAATACGTAAAATCAAATGTTTTGTTGTTATTTTCTTTGTCAGCAGTAGTTTTCGAGAAATGTCCAATGCTCTCTTGTGTTTTATTATCGCTTTTTTATGACAAATATTTTGCCATGTGCATTATGTCATTAGCATGATGTAGTAACACAAAAGACAAAATTACTCATACGTTTGCAGTTTAAAATTACCATACGCGATTGCACAAATATCCAAGAGGTGCAATAATAAAGCTGTACAAAAACTTATTACTTGAGTAAATGAACACCTACCCTCCGGCTTTGTA